TGACTTTGAAGTTTTGTTATTTCCTAGAAATTTTGTTAGATTAAGGCTTTATTTGTATTATTTCATAAACAACTAAATTATGCTTCATAAGAGTCCGCTAGAGTTACCTTAGGAAAACCTTAAAGTTTTCCCCCACTTATGACTATTTCATGAATTTGTAATTATTATGTATGGAATTGAATCTATTGCATATGTTCTCCGCCATTGTACAAGATATTTGAAAAGTATTTATCTATATGAATATTTCTGTATGCCTATATGCAATGTGCATTTGGTATTAAATAAATTGAAAAAAAAATGAAAAAATTGAGCATAAAATATGAATTGTCGCGCAAGTATACAAATCACAGTTTGCAGGCTACCTCTGTCCATCTTCTAGATTCTGCTCAAGTGCCAAGCCGCCATATAATGACTGTAACTGGCCATAAGTCCGAGCAAAGCTTAAACCCTACACAGGATTCACGGTGTAAGCACAAAAAGACACATGTCCCACACTATTAGTCGGGGAATCGGCTTGAATGTAGATGAACCTGTGACCTCTGTCTCTACTTCTGACAAAACTGACCTTGACATTCCTCCTAATTGTCCTATCTCACAAGAAAAATTATCTTCCATTATTATCACTGAACAGGATGTTCATGATCAGCTCCAACTTATTAATGTAAAAAAACCTGCTGGTCCAGATGCACTTCCCCCTTATTTTATTAAAGGTATTGCTGACTCTCTTGTAAAGCCCTTACTGTTAATTTTTAACAAATCCATATCCACTGGTTGCATACCTAATATTTGGAAGTGTGCTAATGTTACCCCAATATATAAGGGCAAGGGAGGAAGAGGTGACCCCAGTAACTATAGACCAATCTCTGTCACATCGTTATTTAGTAAACTTCTTGAAAAAATAGTTTTTAAACATCTCTTTAATTTTCTATCTGAGAATAATGTTATATCAAAAAATCAGTCTGGCTTCCTTCCAAATGACTCCACAGTTAACCAATTAATATATTTATATGATGAAGCTTCAAAACAACTTGATCAAGGAAAAGAGGCAAGGATAGTATTTTGTGACATCAGCAAAGCTTTTGACAGGGTTTGGCACAGTGGATTGATTTACAAATTGAAGAAATATGGAATTTGTGACGACGTTTTGAACTGGATTCATTGCTATCTTACTGATAGACAACAAAGGGTATTAGTAGATGGCTACAAGTCAAATTTACAAACATTAAAAGCTGGTGTACCCCAAGGCTCGGTTCTCGGGCCTTATTTATTTTTAATATTTATTAATGACCTAGAAGATGAACTCCAATCCCATGTCAAACTCTTTGCTGATGACACTTCTCTTTACGTTTTGATAGATGGTGACGGCAGACATGCTGCAGATATTCTCAATGAGGATTTAAGGAGAATGTCTCTCTGGGCTGATAAATGGGGAATATCATTTAATCCAAGTAAAACTGAATCATTACTAATGTCTAATAAAAATAATTCTGAGACATCTCATCCAGATTTGGTATTCTCAAATAGTGTCGTTATAAATGTCAAAAATCATAAACATCTTGGTCTGCTTTTTAATAGTCGTGGATCATGGTCTGATCAAGTTAATTATATATATGGAAAAAGCTGTACAAAACTACAAATAATGCGAATGCTCAAACACAAGCTAGATAGAAAATCTCTTGAAATAATTTATAAATCTTTTATAAGACCAACACTTGAATATGCTTGTGCTGTGTGGAATAATTGCACCCAGGGTGAAAGTGACTTATTGGAATCAGTCCAATTAGAATGTCTCAGAATTATATCAGGTTTGAGAAGAGGTACAAGTCATAACTTAATATATAAGGAAGTTGGGGTAGATAAACTAAAAATAAGACGTGATAATTACCAATGTATATTATTTTTCAAGATACTGCAGCATGACTGTCCTGACCATCTTTATGATTGTATCCTACCATATTTTAATAATGATATTAATCCTCGCCTTAGACATCATAGAAACTTTATTGTTCCCTTGTGCAGAACCAACTTGTATAAAAATAGTTTTTTTCCTAGAATGATGTCTCTATGGAATAGGCCAGACTGTATTTTTCCAAAACTCACTACATTGAGCCAGTTAAAACTGGAATTACTTAAGGAAAGCACATACGTTTTGCAACCATCTAACTGTACGGATATTTTTAAATACGGTGGCTCCAGGAAGTTGAATATAACTTTATGTCAACTACGGAATAAAGTCAGCCAATTAAAATCAGATTTATATAATGATCATCTTACAGATAATCCTAAGTGTGACTGTGGTTTTATTATTGAAGATGCAAATCACTTCTTCCTCAATTGCCCCAAATATATAGATGAAAGACAAGTTTTATTCAATGCTTTATCTAATTACAACGAAATTGACAACATCATCTTAAATACAGTTACTTTCACTACGGGTGATATGAACCTTAGCAGTGAATCAAATAAATTTATTCTCTCATGTGTTCTGGAGTTTATTGACAAATCTGGAAGATTTTAACTTAAACTATACTAAAAATTACATTACAATGTGTTTGTATTTGCTATGTTATAACAATAACTCTGGTGTAATTGGGAAGGATGGCACTGTGTATAGTGACAATTTCTTTGAAGTGCCTCCAACCAAACACTAGGCTATTAATAATTGAAGTAAATAGACTATATTAATTGAAATGGTAAAATCTATGATATTCTAGTTACATGTATTATTTTTTGTGAACATGTATTAAATGGTTCTAGTATTCTCCTGTTAATTCGAACATATACTACATCTTCTCTATAATACTCTCTCTCTATATATATATGTATATATGAATGTATGAAATGTGTGTATTTTCTCTGGAAAGGGCTTTTATAGGCAATGCCTGTGCCTAATCCAATTGTATCTTTTTGAATACAATAAAATTGATTTGAAATGAAATGAAAAGAGATGCGTCCCGTGTTGTTGAACCTCAAAATCTGAATTTTGATATTCACAAGTTAGGTGATTTTGATATTCACGAGTTAGGTGATTTTGATATTCACGATTTAGGTGATTTTGATATTCACGAGTTAGGTAATTTTGATATTCACGAGTTAGTCGATTTTGATATTCACGAGTTAGGTGATTTTGATATTCACGAGTTAGGTGATTTTGATTCAGGAAACTGTATGTTACAGCCTCTGTCTAATTCACAAATGAATACCTAACTCGATGACTTTGACGATGATGAATTTAATGACAGGTGAAAGGTGCTCCAAAGAAAAACACATGTAAGGCAAATATCGATGATCTTTTTGACTTTTTTAGCAAAAGTTTCAATAATGATTTTGCTGTTGATGACAATCATATACTGTCCCTTGATGAACTCAAAGAGTTGTCTAACCTTGAAACTAATACCTTTATAAATGGTCAAATAACTCCAAGTGAAATTTTGAAATGTGTCAATAGATTGAAATCTAATAAGGCTGTTGGTGATGATTTAGTATGTAATGAATATATCAAATCAACTACTGACATAATGCTTCCATTATATGTTAAAATGTTTAACTATATACTTGATTCTGGTAATGTACCAGAAGCATGGCTTATGGGTAATATTATCCCCGTGTTTAAAAATGAAGGTGATATGTATGACGCTAAAAACTATAGACCAAATCACACTGGTCAGTTGCCTAGGTAAACTATTTAAAGCTGTAATTAATGAGCGTCTAAATACATATGCAGACAATGTCGAACTTATACTTGAAAACCAAGCAGGTTTTCGTAGGCAACATTCTACTATAGATCATATATTTTCTTTATACTCTTTAATTTAACTTTCAAAACAATTCAAAAACCGCATGTATTGTGCTTTCATAGATTTTGAGAAAGCGTTCGACAGTGTCTGGAGAATAGGGTTGTGTAACAAATTAATAACAAATAATGTAGATGGAAAATGTTTTAAAGTTATTGTTAATATGTACAATGGAATTAAGGCTAAAGTTATGAAAGATGGAACATTCTCCGATATCTTCACCTGTAATTCCGGGGTTAGGCAGGGTGAAAATGTTTATTGTAAATTTAAAATTTGAAATGTAAAATTTCCTATTGAATGTGGTAGATGGAATAACATTCCAAGAGAAGATAGAAAATGTATTTTTTGTGACCTAAATGAAATTGGAGACGAATATCATTATATATTTAATTGTAATGACCACCAGATAGTGCAAAACAGAAGAACATTTATGTCGAGATACTATTTTGAAAGTCCTAGTACTTTAAAGTTTAATACATTATTTAATTATGTCAATAATGAAGAACTAATTTCACTTATAAAATTCCTTAAGCACATAATTGAGCGAATTAACACTGGCCATTACCACCATGCTTTATATGTAAATTGAACTATATGTATGTATATAATTCTCTACACTGTAACCAGTTTGCGAGAATAACAACCTGTCATTGTCAGCTGTATGCAGTGACTTATGATAATATCATGCTCACGTGTCACTTTCGTTTATATTAGAATAACGATAATTTTCCTAAACCCGGCTTCTGGGGGTAATGTACAGTGTAATTGAACGCCTTTTAAGTAAAAGTTTGAAGATAAGTTTTAAAATAGTCTGTTGTTTGGAAAACAATGATCTCACAAATAAAGCTGAAGCTATTTTTATTGTCTGTGGTATCATGCAAACAATTAAACCAGACTCATCAAACAAATTATAAACAATTTTATTGTTTCTATATATGTTATTATAAAACTTTTTTTATTTACAAACATATATAAAACATAACAAAATGTGAGGCATATAAAACATAAGCCTAACCGGTAATCACAAAATGCATAACATTAAGGATGTACATGATCTAGTTTACATACATTGGTTGTATATCTCTCTTTCTCCCTTTCTCTCTATTTCTCTCCCTCACTCCCTCTCCCTTCCGCTCTCTCCCCTCACACCCATCCCATCTCTCTCTATCCCCTTGTCTCTCTCTCTCCCCCCCCCCCCCCTCTCTCCCCCCCCCCCCCCCCTTTCTCTCTCTCCCTCTCCTCAGTTTCTCTCTTTTTCTCGCATACGATTTCATTCGCTCGCCTATGCGTTAACCAAACTACCCTACGTTACACAAGGGTTCCCGTGTGACTTACATGTGTGTTACTGATTATTATTAACAGTGTGGCTTACAAAGAGGAGTAGTTTATATACACACAATTATGCCCATTGAAATATGTCACATCAACATTAAAAGCGAAATAAAAATATTTTTAAAATGTTGAATTTAAAGTTTTGACATTCATTGGATTTTAAGTCAAGGTTTAGCTTAGCCCCATATCAACAACTCTTAAACTGTTTTAGAGCTAGGATTTCCATATATATGGAGCTGAACTCATTATTAGCTTGAGGCAAAAATGGTGATGTCGGTAACACATTACCTTGGTATTACGCGTAACACTGCACGAGCGTGTCAACTTCTTGCTTATACCAATAGGGCACTTGTTACACCGTATCAACATATATGTATATACACATATATGTTGTGTTGACTTAAGCGTGAAACCATTACGCACGCCTTAGATTGAATCTCAAAAAAATGTTTGTTATATCTGTTTTGACGTGTCACTCAGGAAAAGCTATGCAATGTATCGTTTTATACCCAGTTTATTCCTCGAATTACATTGATATCAGTTGGATGTTTCACATATCACTTACTGGGATAGACGGGGACGTTTGTCGTTATTGGATTTTAATGATAAACACCGGTACACCTGGCTACACATCAAATGTGATAGAGCTTAAGTGTTTCATATTAAAGTGTTTACATCGATCAAATACACATACAGGGACGAAATCATGTCATGCCACTTATAACTCAATTTTAGTTATGTACCAATTAACATTCCATTTAATAACTAGGATTCTAGCCCTCGAAATCTCATATTTATATAGTCGTAAGAATAGCTCTTTTGAGCTAAAGTTGCATTGTTACAAACACGACTCTAAATAAAAATTCTTGTATCTTATCACAGCTAACAGCCTATCGTGGTGTGGACTGTCGAAGTCTGATTTACATTTAAAAATACAATATTTGAGAGAGGCATGTTTTTTGAATTATTAATTTCTTGATATTCCAGTTTCGTTGCGAGGGAAGCATTGCTCCACTAACCATACATGTATTCGTGGCTTTGAGATTCAATAATTTTGAAAGTAAAATTGAAAGAGAATTGTTACATTAAGATGCCCTTCCATGATGTTATCCATGAATTGAATGTTAGATTATAACTGAACGAGACATTAAGCGAAACAAATTTTGTATATTCAGGATATCAATTCAAATTAGATTTACCTGTAATTCAAATGAATTTAATAAAACAAAAAGGCCTAATTAATTTTAAACCAAGTGTATTGAATGGAATACATTTATATGTTATGCATATTTACCGAGAGTTTTCGTCATGCACGCGAATAAAAGATCGATAAAATATTGTTTATTGAGTTTTACAACGGTTAATACCACCTAGCGGGACTGCGTTTGGCTGCATGCTCTCATTATTAATTTGTGACATTGCGCACTGGCTTCAAACACATTATAACTTTAAGACTTTTGTGTAAAAATATCAGCATTTCCTTTTCCAAGCCGGCTTGGGAGAATGTGATTTTTACGAAAATTAAAACTTTGTAAAAATATACAGATATATAAACATATATACAGAAGGTTGATAACAAAATTGCATTATGCACTTGGTTGATCAAGAAATATTCAAATTGTAAAATCTTACAAAAATATAGGTATATTCAAATACGATATGGACATGTATTAATCAATAAACAAAAGAGAGTAGGATAGATCACAGGTATAGCTTAATGTCTACGACTCCAAGAAATAAATCGGAAAATATTAGCTTTATTCTTCACGCTTCACTGAACAGGCGTTAAGTTCCTTAAGACGTCATCATCAGCTATAACCGGATACATCTATTGAGGTAAAATGAACGCCAGCTATTTTCACACAAAATAACCTCAATCAAAAACAAGATGGATTTCTAACAAATAGCTATATATATTAGGCCAATCCTCAGGACACCCGAGCTGACGACAAGCCGACGTAAGGACCTGTACATCAGTAACGGAGTGCCCTAACCAGGACATAACCACATCAACTGCAGACTCGCTTGAATCGTTTCTTTTAATACGCAATATACGCCCTTGGCGTTTGTTAAGCTGTAAGTTATTAAAAATGTGGTTCCTATCGGAGAGTTATTTACACGTTAAATACATTCAATAATCATCACAGCGTGAAGTCTGTTATAAAATAAAAGTTTTCCTTAAAATAAATTTTCAATAATTCTTGTTTTGCTTCCACTTGAGAACATTGTAGCACCCTCCATTTCACACCGGTATATAAGTAAATCCGTCCCATTGGATATCACTCCCTATCAACGTGTCCCGACGGTATATAAGTAAATCCGTCCCATTGGATATCGCTCCCTATCAAAGTGTCACACCGGTATATAAGTAAATCCGTCCCATTGGATATCACTCCCTATCAACGTGTCTCATGGTTCCTTCACAATATACACCTGGAATTTGTGACTGCTATTCTGAATCATTAAACAGCCCACGAATCCAGAGTTAAATAGATGAACTTCAGTTTTGTACGATCCTTGATGCTTAGAAATTTTCTTTTGAGAATGAAAAATTGATTTTCTCACATTCCAGTTTAATTATTTTTCCAAGCGCTGGAGCTCCACAGAAGAATACCTTCACCTTGCCTTTCTTTTGTGCCGCAATGCCCTTGAATACCTACAGATCAGATAAAATGACAATAGTATTAATGACAAATATGTCTGAGAAATATATTTGAAACATTAATTAGCTATCCACTCTGAGAGTTCACATGTCGATACACCACACTTGTCCTTTATTTAACTTGTTAAACTTTGCAAATTTAGGGTTTCAACGCATCAATACGATGATTTTCAAAACAAAACGAATGCTACATGTAAACAACATCGGTACTGTCAGTTATATAATATGACACACAGATATCAAGTACAAACAATCAGACAATCTACCAATGGGATAATAGAATCCATATCAACATCGTTACTGAGAAAACACCTGTAGGAATTGGTAGTTCGATGGATGTTCCCGTATTAGCTAAATCTTAATGATAATCAATACATCCACGTCATAGAGCCACTGTTTGTTTAGACCAAATGGAACGTTATAACCGGTTTTGGCAATACTGTTTAAAATTCGCCCATCGACGGTAAAATTCATTTTCACCCAAAATTAAACTCGTCCTTCACATTTAATTGCCTTGTATATATAACGTTGTTAACAAATGTTGTACTGATGAGGTCGCCCCCATTACGGGGTATATAAATGAGATATGTTAAGATCATTAAAAAGGGACACATGTTTCTGGTAAACGATGTAATCGAGGGGCGTTATGTCAATGTTATGTTGTATGTATATGATATATATATATATATATAAATAAATAAAAAAATGACGAGTTGCTTCGACTTCCCTAGCGCTTTCTCCTCTTAAGAGGTTCATCAGGGGAACTGTCTATCATGTTGACAGGACAACAACACATCACAGAAAGTGATGACGTCATGATACATTATGATGCCACGTTACAGGTATGAGTAATGAGGAGAAAGCGCTAAGGAAGTCGAAAACACTCGTGTCTTTTGTTATTTTTACATTTAACCATCACAAGGACTTTGTAATATATATATAGTTGTCCTGACCTTGCTCCACTTGGGTCTGCCTGCCTGTGTCCGAGTGTGTAGGCCGGTGATGAGGTCCTTGTTGTCCTTCTTGTGTAATAAGTCCATGGCCAGCTGGAGGCCAATCCCCTTCATGTCTGTCAGGTCCTTCACAGAGGTCATATAGAACTGCATGTCAATGATACGGTCAAGACTGCCAGAGTCCGAGCGGTCAAGTTCGGCCTGTTCCATCTCTAACTCGGTCAGCATACTCATAAACCACTCAAAACACTTCTGGTCTCGATTGATCCAAATAAAATCCACCTGAAAAAGTCACAGTATATAATCATATGAAGGTTTCAATATTCTAACCGATTCCTTTGAAAACGTTTCTATATGTTAATGTGGATTCCAATTCATTAAAATAGGTAGCCCACTTCATATTGCTGTTCTTTTATGTTTTATTGCTGTTCGTTTATGTTTTTTGGAATTGTTTTCGGCGAGATTTCATAAGCATTTTTGTTCGGAAGTTTCGCAATGGACGGGTGATATAGCACATGGAACAAACAGTTGATATAGCACATGGAACAAACGGGTGATATAGCACATGGAACAAACGGGATATACAAAACCAGCGCCGGACATTTCAATAAAAACAGTGTACAATGTTTTTTTACCAATTGCCGATACAACTCCAAACCCTATCCGCGACCCTTTTCCCCCAACCAGCAGACCCAGGGATACGATGCCTCCTCTTTGGTGACAGGGTGGAGACCGACATTACAATACTACCAGGATAACAACACTGTGGACTTCTGTCTTTTCCATTCTAAATTGTTATATGCATTGGTACTCTTGTACAACAATCATTGGTGATCTGGAAGACATGAAAGCCCCCAAAACAAACACAAATATTGGAATTATAAAAAGGGAAACGGAAATTTATAGTACAGCGTCAACTTATAACGACAAATAGATCAAATCAATTCTTAAGTACAACATATTAGGAGACATCAGAGCCAGTAGAAAGACCCAACACAAACAATGTTAGCAAAAACCACGTGATCTATAAAGGAGGCGTGGCCGACACCATATGTGGAACCCATCATTGAGCGTGTCTTACCTTTTTTAGTTTCATGGAGTGTTCGGAGATCTCGCCGTAGAACTCGTGGTTACAATTTGGACATTGACGTTTGGACGCCTTGTAGCGAAACATGACACTCTGAAGTATGGACGCCATGGGTGTGACGCCTATCCCCGCCCCGATAAGTACCGCGTGTTCCGTGTCGAACACCTCCCTACATCCCGTTCCGTAAGGACCGTCAATACTGCACTAAAAACGACAATACGGTAACTAAACTTTCAGCATACACATTTACGCTTGATTATTTCAATTACGTATATTTTTTTTAATTAAGGATTAACTTGAATATATTTTTCATGTTATGGAGATATAACACAAAAAACGGAGTGTATTCTAAATACACCGTGAAGCTGTTAATGATGAGAAAACATTCCAGTTTTTTGTGTAATAGCTCCATAACATAGAAATATATTCAAGTCCATCCTTATAATTTAATCTACTTTACACACAATCCCTGTGGAAATCCACTTATATTGATGGACTCTTTTCTCTTGGAAAATAATGGGATGAAGTATCAGCCAATCAAAAGAGACGTTACAAATGGCGACGTCATTTTTTTACGTTATTGGCTGATAACATAAATGTTTAAGCCAATGAGAATGCTTGTTACAAGCAAGATTAAATTATTGAAGCATAACAGGTGCACTTATTTAATATAATTCTTATTAGATCATTTACCATATATCTACCCCAGTGGAAATAATTTCGCATTATGTTCACGATATAATAAGAACACGAGTATTGTTACCTACACAATAAGAAACCTCGCTATTGCCATTTAGATATAATTGCCTGATCCACATTTATTCAGCGAAATTAATCTAAAGCTTGTTGACATATTACTTTAATTATTTGTATCGATTACACATATATTTATGTGATTAATTTTATTATATCAAAATAAACGCCTCGTTCTCGTTTGTTTGGACAACTTAACTCAAAAGTTACACGCTCTATTTGCATAGCAAATATTATTTCTCTTTAAGTACATTGAATTAAATACAATCTTGCCGTGAAGTGTAATTACTTAACACGTCCTCCAACTTTCATAGCATAGACACGATTTGTTACTGAATGAACCGTGGGTATTATGACAACATGGCTACAAATAGATAAACTCGTTTCTTTATTCTGTGAATGAAATTAAGTCTTCGGAGATGATACCACAGTAGTTGATATTTAATGAGAACAATGGAAGATATCATGTTTCAAATGTCAATGTTTATGTTGATAAAATGGGAAAAGTAATCAAGGGATAGTTAAATAAAAACCTTACCAAAATCTTGACTTTCTTATGTTTCCGTCTTCTTCTCTTTTCAGCCTTCAATTCCTGTAAATCATTAAATCAAATTTGTTTAATCGTGCGTCAATATGTCATTTTTTACACATGTCTTGTCAGGTACAGACCCTTAAGTTGTTTACAATCAAATACATTTGTTTACATTGCATAAAATAAGTACAACTTCAAAATCTTTGAGTTGTACTCTCATCTCAGAGGGGGGGGGGGGGGGGGCTTGTTCCCAGGTTCCTCCTCACTGTATGTGGCTAAGGTTATAAGCCATCATACGCCATACATAACAAAATATTTATATTCAGTAAAGGTCGGGAATAAAACAAGATATTGAAACTTAAATTGTTTAAGTTAGTTTGTCTTTTATTTGATAACTACAAAAAGTTGAACGAGTACTCAAATAAAAATATAACTTCTGCAATACATTCTCCTACTTACTATTCTGATATTTACTTTCGGTTCATTGCATCAAAAATCAATTAGAACTCTCATTTTATTACGATTGATAATATATTTCATTATTGATGACATAATTTAAGCTCATTATCTTATGATGATGACCACGTGATACGTGTCAGCGAATCAAACAACTTACTTCCAGCGTTTGTTCATCGTTCTTTTCAGATCTCTGGAAGGTTCCTATGGAAACACATAACAAACAAATAGAAATAAGGTAATTATACTAGGACGACCATCGCGTGTAGCTGATGGGGGAAAGTTAAAACAATAATATAATTTATCACTTTTTTATTAAGTATTTAAAATATTACATTAGCCTAAAGACAAAGTCGTATTTCAAGTAAATCGATCAATCGTATATTTTGAGTTTGGACTTGGAATTACTTCAGAACCTCATTCCTGCAGCACACATATGTCGGTGAAATGTTTTGCTTGCAGAAATTTATTAAATGACATGCTTCAAGTTCAGATTTCGTGTGTTCACGTTAACAACGGAGATGTGTTTACTCTATCTCTTGACTCGGCGTCTTTGACCCTATTTTTTTAAGAGGAAGGATAATTCATAAAGAAACATTATCAACGATCTGAAATGTGTCGTTTGTGTTATTTTTCAAACAACGATGTCTATAAAAAATCTATGATAGAACCTATTGTTCTATGTGTTTTGTACTCAGGGTATTTCCCGTTATGCTTGTCGCGTAGTTGTTGACTCCAACCTTGACATTTCGTACCTTTCACACTTTTGTAGAGAGAACGGCCACGTGTTCCGCGTCTACTCATGCCTCGTCCTTTGGGTATGACATCTTCCTCGTCATCAAACGTATTCCCTAACCCGGGATCGAGGTTTTCAAAATACTCGTACAACTTGTTTGTCCAGTGACCAGCCGATCGTATGTGCAGTGTAAACTTTCCTGTGTAGACCAAGAACAAACTCAGAATTACAAGCGTTACACAGATAGACGTTACACAGATAGACGTGTTACACAGATAGACGTGTTACACAGATAGACGTTACACAGATAGACGTGTTACACAGATAGACGTTACACAGATAGACGTTACACAGATAGACGTGTTACACAGATAGACGTTACACAGATAGACGTTACACAGATAGACGTGTTACACAGATAGACGTTACACAGATAGACGTGTTACACAGATAGACGTTACACAGATAGACGTTACACAGATAGACGTGTTACACAGATAGACGTTACACAGATAGACGTGTTACACAGATAGACGTTACACAGATAGACGTTACACAGATAGACGTGTTACACAGATAGACGTTACACAGATAGACGTGTTACACAGATAGACGTTACACAGATAGACGTTACACAGATAGACGTTACACAGATAGACGTGTTACACAGATAGACGTTACACAGATAGACGTGTTACACAGATAGACGTTACACAGATAGACGTTACACAGATAGACGTTACACAGATAGACGTGTTACACAGATAGACGTTACACAGATAGACGTGTTACACAGATAGACGTTACACAGATAGACGTTACACAGATAGACGTGTTACACAGATAGACGTTACACAGATAGACGTTACACAGATAGACGTTACACAGATAGACGTGTTACACAGATAGACGTTACACAGATAGACGTTACACAGATAGACGTGTTACACAGATAGACGTTACACAGATAGACGTTACACAGATAGACGTGTTACACAGATAGACGTTACACAGATAGACGTTACACAGATAGACGTGTTACACAGATAGACGTTACACAGATAGACGTTACACAGATAGACGTGTTACACAGATAGACGTTACACAGATAGACGTTACACAGATAGACGTGTTACACAGATAGACGTTACACAGATAGACGTTACACAGATAGACGTGTTACACAGATAGACGTTACACAGATAGACGTTACACAGATAGACGTTACACAGATAGACGTGTTACACAGATAGACGTTACACAGATAGACGTGTTACACAGATAGACGTTACACAGATAGACGTGTTACACAGATAGACGTTACACAGATAGACGTTACACAGATAGACGTGTTACACAGATAGACGTTACACAGATAGACGTTACACAGATAGACGTGTTACACAGATAGACGTTACACAGATAGACGTTACACAGATAGACGTGTTACACAGATAGACGTTACACAGATAGACGTTACACAGATAGACGTGTTACACAGATAGACGTTACACAGATAGACGTGTTACACAGATAGACGTTACACAGATAGACGTTACACAGATAGACGTGTTACACAGATAGACGTTACACAGATAGACGTGTTACACAGATAGACGTTACACAGATAGACGTTACACAGATAGACGTGTTACACAGATAGACGTTACACAGATAGACGTGTTACACAGATAGACGTTACACAGATAGACGTTACACAGATAGACGTTACACAGATAGACGTGTTACACAGATAGACGTTACACAGATAGACGTGTTACACAGATAGACGTTACACAGATAGACGTTACACAGATAGACGTGTTACACAGATAGACGTTACACAGATAGACGTGTTACACAGATAGACGTTACACAGATAGACGTTACACAGATAGACGTGTTACACAGATAGACGTTACACAGATAGACGTGTTACACAGATAGACGTTACACAGATAGACGTTACACAGATAGACGTGTTACACAGATAGACGTTACACAGATAGACGTGTTACACAGATAGACGTTACACAGATAGACGTGTTACACAGATAGACGTTACACAGATAGACGTGTTACACAGATAGACGTTACACAGATAGACGTGTTACACAGATAGACGTTACACAGATAGACGTTACACAGATAGACGTGTTACACAGATAGACGTTACACAGATAGACGTGTTACACAGATAGACGTTACACAGATAGACGTGTTACACAGATAGACGTTACACAGATAGACGTTACACAGATAGACGTTACACAGATAGACGTTACACACACAAGGGTTGACTGCACCTTAAAAGTATTTATAATAGAAACGGTATTCCGTCTTTGCTTATTGCAGAGTTATCTGCTCTTGTGAACAGGCATTGCTTGATACGTCATTTGTTTGTGAGAGTAACGTCATCAAGTTTTTCACACAAACCAATGACGTAACAATCGATACCTGCTCACAAGAGAAGATAACTGTGCAATACGCAAAGACGGAATACCAATGATGAATCACACAGCATCATACAGCTGTGGCGTCCTTCTAGGACTCCTCGGTGATGCTAGGGGCCTAAACGATTTTCTAAAGTCGTCTTTACAACTGTTGAAACAGACGGAGAGGTGTGTTAAAACCCTTTCAAAATCAATTTCAAATCTCAAAGAAGCATTTACAGATTTCAAAGTAAAAAAGCCATTCGGGTTGATATATATCGGCTGTGCCCCGCTTTGAAATATCAGAGAAACTAACTAAAAAACAACAAGTTAATGTTGGAGGAGATGCTGACAAAGTCAATAAACCATGAAAGGTAGACCGCATCCAGCATTTGAGGCATGGGTTGAGATGTATCACCTAAGATGCATCTATGGTCCGAATTTGGTTGGTCTAGCAATTATACTTTCAGTGAAACTAAGTTAGACACAAAAACCTAATATTAATAGTAACGCAACGCTTTAGTCTCGCTTTCGCTACTTCATGACGGCGAGACAAAATAGCTTTAGTGTATATTCCGTCTTTGCATATTGCAGAGTTATCTTCTCTTGTGAGGAGGTATTGATTGTTACGTCATTGGTTTGTGTGAAAAAGTTACGTCGTTTTCTCAAAAATTGATGACGTTATTCTCACAAACCAATGACGTTACAATCAATACCTGCTCACAAGAGAAGATAACTCTGCAATATGCAAAGACGGAATATTAGGGACCATGACACTACTCAAAAGACAGCATTGCGGTCACCAAGGATTCCACCAGCTTTAAAACCAAAGGTAAAAATGAATCTACTTTCTGTATTGTTTACTATATCAGGTTTAACTACGTCAATGTTACTCGTGTGGCTGGGTTTCTACAGGTTTCGAGACCTATCAGACATTACCATTGTTTCTGTTGACATATAGTGCCACCAATGAGTCCAAATGAACTAAATTGTCAAATGATCCTGTAAAATGAACCTGTAAAATAATCCTGTAAAATGATCCTGTAAAATAATCCTGTAAAATGATCCTGTAAAAGGTTGACTTTGTTTAGCTCTTTGCATAGATAAAATCAATTGTACCATGGGCTTTTTATCACCTACCACTCATTTCCGGGGCACTGCTGATAGTGAAGGGATGCCATTCATACTGAGCGATACACGGAATCTGAATGAAGCAATAATCACCAGGTTTGTAGTGGAACTTGTCACCTTTTGATATCACAAGTTGGGTTACCTGAAATATATAAAATATTCACGAATTCAAAAATATTTTTTAAGCAAGTGAAACCCAAGAAGTATAGCAAATATATGTATATGAAATGAAATATCACTGTATCTCAATATTTTGGTTTAAAACTAGTAAGCATAGCAAATACAATCTATGAAATGAAATATTGCTGTTTTGCAAAAAAAATGATATGTATGCACCCGATAGGTGTTTATAACTTGCAAATTATTTAACATTCAAACAGATATACCGATAATTATAAACAGCTGTTTACGAGTGGTGGAGAAGAGTTTCATAATCGATGGTTTGACCCATGATAGTAATTCAGCTTAAAATTATGTATTTTCTAGATCGAGTACTTTTTCCCTTTGACTTTATCGGGATACATATTACAAAACATTCCCTCTGTAAGTCCCTACAGCACGATACACTATTACAAAACATTCCCACTGTAAGTCACTATAGCACGATACACTATTACAACACATTCCCTCTGTAAGTCCCTACAGCACGATTCACTATTACAAAACATTCCCTCTGTAAGTCCCTACCGCACGATACACTATAACAAAACATTCCCTCTGTAAGTCCCTACAGCACGATACACTATTACAAAACATTCCCGCTGTAAGTCACTATAGCACGATACACTATTACCAAAAATTCCCCTTGTAAGTCACTATAGCACGATACACTATTATAAAACATTCCCTCTGTAAGTCCCTACAGCCCGATTCACTATTACAAAACATTCCCTCTGTAAGTCACTACAGCACGACACACAATTACAAAACATTCCCTCTGTAAGTCACTATAGCATGATACACTATTACAAAACATTCCCACTGTAAGTCACTATAGCACGATACACTATTACAACACATTCCCTCTGTAAGTCCCTACAGCACGATACACAATTACAAAACATTCCCTCTGTAAGTCACTCCAGCACGATACCCTATTACAAAACATTCCCTCTGTAAGTCACCATAGCACGATACACTATTACAAAACATTCCTTCTGTAAGTCACTATAGCACAATACACTATTACAAAACATTCCCTCTGTAAGTCGCTATAGCACGATACACTATTACAAAACATTCCTTCTGTAAGTCACTATAGCACAATACACTATTACAAAACATTCCCTCTGTAAGTCCCTCCAGCACGATACACTATTACAAAACATTCCCCTTGTAAGTCACTATAGCACGATACACTATTATAAAACATTCCCTCTGTAAGTCCCTACAGCACAATACACTATTACAAAACATTCCCTCTGTAAGTCACCATAGCACGATACACTATTACAAAACATTCCTTCTGTAAGTCACTATAGCACAATACACTATTACAAAACATTCCCCCTGTAAGTCCCTACAGCACGATACACTATTACAAAACATTCCCCTTGTAAGTCACTATAGCACGATACACTATTACCAAAAATTCCCCTTGTAAGTCACTATAGCACGATACACTATTATAAAACATTCCCTCTGTAAGTCACTATAGCACGATACACTATTACAAAACATTCCCCTTGTAAGTCACTATAGCACGATACACTATTACAAAACATTCCCTCTGTAAGTCACTATAGCACGATACACTATTACAAAACATTCCCTCTGTAAGTCACTATAGCACGATACACTATTACAAAACATTCCCTCTGTAAGTCACTATAGCACGACACACTATTACAAAACATTTCCACTGTAAGTCACTATAGCACGATACACTATTATAAAACATTCCCTCTGTAAGTCACTATAGCACGATACACTATTACAAAACATTCCCTTTGTAAGTCACTATTGCACGATACACTATTACAAAACATTCCCTCTGTAAGTCACTATAGCACAATACACTATTACAAAACATTCCCTCCGTAAGTCACTATAGCACGATACACTATTCCAAAACATCCCCTCTGTAAGTCCCTACAGCACGATACACTATTACAAAACATTCCCTCTGTAAGTCACTATAGCACGATACACTCGAAGTGTTTCCGTACTGTTCGAATGTTTTAAGGATACTTAGTCCGTATATACTTACACCAGAAGGTAAGATGGTGACCTCCTGAATATGATTTGTTCCGTATCGAACGCGCTTCACAAACTTGCTACGGAAAAATTTCTCTCCCATGAAAATTATGCCTGGGGCTATAAACCATTTCCAGAAGTTCGGCGCGTGGAGGATGAGCAGGACCCAGAAAGCAATGTAAAGCATGTGTGACCAGTAAAACACCTGTAATTGAAAATGGCATGTCAGAGGTCATAGGTCACCACTCAGAGATCATATAGAAACACTTACATTCCCACCGCAAGTTCCTATATAAGCATTACCAGAATAAATTGGGTTTATGAACGCAATTTAATCAGTGTCATTTTGAAGCTTCGCCTCCCACCTCGAACAACATGAGACAACCATTAGAAGCAAACATATTGGCGGGTGTTGTCCATTGTACAGAAGATTACTCCCCCTCCGGAACACCTGGTCTTATTCTCTATTTTGTAAAAAAAACTTCGATATTCTCTCGTCGTTTTTGTGTGAGGGTAAACATTTATAAATATAAACTTTATTTATTTTATAACAATTATGGAACAAGTTATTTTAACTTTAAATTAACACCCTTGTTGGCCCGGATGTAAGCACGCCGGGGTTCATGCGAGAGGAAACCGACGTGGTCGAGCAGGTGACCCCGACACGTGTCCCCGTTCGATCGGGGATCGCCGCCTTGACGAACGGTAAGTGCGTTAGTGCGTCACCACCCGACCACCAAAACATTAACTCATTGTAATAAAATAGAGATGACACCATGTTAATGCATTATGTTTTGAAATAACTACCTCAAAATGGCCAGATCTCCTGACAAATGGCAAAGAGCATATCACCATTATAACAAGTACCACGTCCAACATCCAGCCAGTGATGAAGGCGCTCGCCCCGACGAAACCAATCCCAGCTTTGGTCGTTAACAGGACCTCCCAGACATGCATGTCCGTGGTCGCGTTCTTCATATGTTCAAGTTCTTCGACAACGACGACTGAAATGAGGAGATAACTCTGTAAATAACTTGTAATTGTTTAATTGAATAAATTTATTTTGTTACAAGACCTGACGACGTCTGAGTGCATATCACAATTTAAGATTTTGACAAGATGAATTCTTTAGGATCATGGGATATATGATATGATACAATAATCGACTTTCAGAAGCCATCGATAGCTCCCATCGAGCTTACAAACCCGCAGCTGTGTAAACCGTGACTGCGTATACATTACCGTATACGCAGTAGGATTCCCTGGAGACCATCGTTTCCTATTGATGACGTAATTTACATTGTGACGTCATAATGGTAACGTTGAAGATCCATCGCTGCTCGCAGGCTGTATGCTGTTCATTTGTTTGGATTTACGCACGTTACGGAGGCTTTGCACCAATATAAAAGCAAATGTATTGGAGTTAGCTTTATTCTGAGTGTACCATCATAGTACGAAAATATGTAAATATAAGAATTGATCTTCAGTTTGACTGCGTATACGGTGGTATGAACGCAGTAACCGCGCTCCATAGAATATGTTCGTTGCTAACTGCGTTCATACTACCGTATACGCAGTCAAAATGAAGGTCAATCCTTAAATATCCAATCCCTTTTTTATACCTCTAGTTGGACTCGCATAACAAAACTTAAATTACAAGAAGAAAAGGTTTCGTTTTTCACAGGAATCAACAACGTTTCAGTAATGCAATCTAATGGTAACCAAACCCGCCTCTGTGTTACCAAGGTAACCAAACCCGCCTCTGTGTGACCATGG